CAACTTGTCAGCACTTGTTAGCACCAGAATTGTTTACAGATTGAGCTTTTGCTGCTCCAAAGTCATCCTTTGGAATATACGGCAACATCCAGACTAGTCTGTTTCCAGAAAAACGTGGTTTCTCTTACAAGACCTAGTAGTAGCCCTTTACCTGATGGACCCTAAAAATACAAAACACCTCAAACACAAGTTAGCTCGTTAGCTCGTTTTTGCATGCTTTTGCTATTCCACCTTTCGTTTGGATGCCCACTACAACAAAAATTGCATGGGATTCCACCCGAAACGGGCAAACCCACGCGACGACGTGGAAAAAACGACTCTCGCTCCAAACCAGCCGGAGAAAACAAACCGCTCCAAACTCCTTTTGAATCCGCTCGAGTGATTCGCGCAAGCAGTTCTCTTCGCCCAGCAAGGAGATACGGGTATCCACCAAGCGATAGATCGCGTCCTGAGGGAATTTCAGCTCAGCGAAGGCGACGTACGCCACGTTCAGCAAAGGCTTTACATCCACGTAAGGCTAGGGGGGTTTTATGGAACCCTAGGGATCCAAGTACCTTCTCGGAAGGTACGACTGGACCCTCAAAACCTACATAAGAGTGTCCCTGAGAAGGTACGACTGGATCCCTAGGGGAACAACACCGTGAAGAAGGAGGTGAATGAGGTCGGTGAAAGGGTGCAGTATCGCAGATTGGAGGTCAGGTGAGGTCAGCTTGGTCTGCGCATGAGCACCTCACATATAGGGATGGGGTACCACAGGTGACGGGTCCTTCTTCAGGGACCATGACCACATGGTGACACATGGCCCTGGTGACACATGGCCATGGTGACGACGATCCACCAGGATCCGGTCAGGACGCTCGTGACTTTGATGTTTGCTTGCAGTTTGCATCCTGGAGCAGTTATAGCTCTAACATGCTCTCTATAACTCACTCAGTCAACTACTCAGTCAACCACACTCTTGCCCAAGGCTGCCGAGACGTCGTGCTCGACGTAACAGCTGAACTCCCAGCATCAGGGACGCTCCAGCTGCAGAATGGCTGGATCTACGGCTTTTGTTTCTCAAAGGTCTCACGATCGAACTTCATGGACTCGTTGGCGCACACGGGTGGGGGTGATGGTTTTCCCGGACGCTATAAAAACACCACCGAGCGGTGCCGACTCGGATCATGTCAGACCCGCTGGCCTCACACCAATCGACCAGAAATGAAAGGAAACGTTTCGACCACGCCAATGGGCAAATGGAGGACTCTTCACCAATTCCACGGATCCACCCACCGTACCGTATTGGTTCGGTACGACTCGACCTGACAATGGCACCTACATGCACGTACATTACAGTGTCTCCAATTACCTTATCAAAGGGTATATAGTATTATGTGGATGTATATATGGGATAGTCACTGGGATAGTCTGAAGGGTTCTTCATGGTTCTTTGACCTCTGTTGGAACCGGACAAGCCATAGCCGTTCGCCAGCCAGGGGTCACAAATATTCCTGTCTTGCACGATCAGCGGGAATGCCTCACAAGTCCGCGACCGCGTACGGCGAGGGGTCGTCAAAGGCTCGGATTCCGTTCGGCTGAAAATGATGGTGGAAGTGACTTCCAGGGAATCACTCCGCAACGACCAATTCGCCCAAACCTTTTTGTTCCTTCAATTTGAGGGAGCTTAGAGCTTGGATCAGAAAACACCAACAAGACCTGGTTGATTTTCTATACTGCCATAATCTACCATAAATATAACCATTTCTGCTTGGTGGTTTCAACTCACTCGAAAGCATACTGAACATATCTGAACATATTGGTCACTGGCTTCCATCCTCCGGACGGTCGGTTGCACATCGAACGATCCGAAACTCACCAACCGGCTCGGCCTCGGAGTTGTCCAAGGGTGGCCGTTGCAGGCGCAAGTCCTTCTGCTCGTTCAGGCGCCTCTGCAGATCCTCCTGACGACCCAGCGACGGGTCGTCAAGTCGCACAGGGCGGTCGTGCGCGAGACACATTCATTCAGCCCATATAGGGCCTATAGGGCTGGCTCCAGGAGGTTCGGATTCCTTTGTCGAACGGAGGTGAAAGCACGTACTTCCAAAGAATGGTCGTAAGAAACCAGGTCGAATGGTTTCTGGGGACTTTCAGCAGATCATCAGGATGGTCCTGGACCCTTAGGGGCATCATGCAGCACAAACGTTGATAGATAAACGATGATAAACGAACATGTATGTCAGAAAGCAAGGCCTAATCTGGGGGAACCCTCCAAATTCCTCAGAAACCCCCACAAACCACGCGAAGGCCAACCTTACAAATCCAAACTTGTTTCCCACCGTTCCCGGGTGCGTCCTCCATCTTCGCGAAGTCCTCCTGGTTCCGCCCCTGCTCCCGCACCAAATCTTCTTGATCCCGCTGTAAGCGCCGCACACAGGTGTCATAATAGGCGATCCTGGGAATGCCAACATCGAATTAAAAGGAATTGGGGCTGGGTTGGGTGGAGCAGCGAAAACAAACAGGTGAAGAGGTGACTTTGGTGGATTGCAACCTGTGTCAACTATTCTTATAAATGTATTGGATGTTGTTTATATCTTATGATATCTTCACCTTTCCTGCCCCAAGCAACTCAAGTGTCCCTTGATTCGAACATCCCGATTTCAACCATGCAAGGAATACAAACAAAACCCAGGGTTCCAATCTGGAGTTCATTCATCCCACCATCTCAACCTTCCACAAATCTCACTCTGGAGCATCGATCACGGCGATTCATTCTCAGTCAACACAGGCAGCTTGAGGTGCGCATTTCATTGCAAAACATCCACCCAAACATCCGATGTCGCTGAGTCTTGAGTTCACACGGGGTTGACAAACATGGTCGTATTCCAGTGCTCTTGTGGTCTTTGTATGTCACAGCCCATCCTTGCCCCCAAAATCAGAGCCATGCCGTGCCCTTGAACCTGAAACATCTGCCGTGCCATCCGATCTGCCCCATCTGCCCAGCAAATCCGTCCTTTCTCGGAAGACGCTGTAGCGCTCGTGCCTCCCCAAAGCCTCCTGACGCGAGCTCCGGCTGACGCTGACGCTGGAGAAGCGTCCCAAGTGGGAACGACGCCTGCCTTCCCGGGACTGAAGAAACAGATCTGTTTCTATGAGTAACAGGGACCCGGGATTCTCCAATCACCAAGTTGCATGAACAAGTTCCTATTAGTTGACTTGGTCATATTTTTTCCCCTTAACTTATACTGTACTTCTCGTAGCAACCGGAGTCTTTCATGTTCTTTCATGGCCCGAATTGATACTGCAGCCCTTTGAGTCGACATCTTCAGGCAGTCAAATGATGTCAGCCCTGCCCAGTCAAATGAAGGGAACGCTGCGCCACACGAACTTGGCAAAAGGTGCCAAACAAATTGTCTTCAGATGTCTTCATCTCATAAAGCACCATTCCATCATGATGCATGCGCATTTTTAAGACACTATCTTGAACCATCAAAAACGTCAAGATCATAAAACATGACCTACCCATCACCCCACCTCCTTGTTTCTGAAACCTTGCCCAAAATCCTCCGGTAACCTGGTAACCCTACACTTAGCTTGTTTTCTTTTTTCCCGTGTGTTTTTTTAAATGTGTTTTCTCCTTGATCCAATATCCATTTGCGACCGAGTTGCCAAGCGCTGGACGATCGGTGCGAAGTCCGCCGGGGGCATCGCACGGGCGAAGGTGGAATGCAGCGAGCGGCGAGGTCTGTGCGAGAGCGGACAGCTCCGGGGCGGACGACTGAGCCAAGCTGAGACGGCGAGCCAGCGATGTTTTCTTCGATCCTGTGTTTGAAGCTCGCAGAGTGTGGAACACCAGTGAATGCATAATATGTGATAAGTGATAAAGCTCCTCTTCTGTTTGTATGAGTTGCTGATAGGCTCGGAGTCCATCATCTTAAATTATCATATCCAAAGAGTGGGTGCCTGCTTCGGCAACACTTCCATTTTCCAGTCTGCCAGCTTGCTGCAAGGAATCCGAAGGAGGTGAAACAAAACAAGGAGCCCTCTCGCATGGGTGATCTTGAAACAGCGAAACCGATGTTTAATGGAATTGTGGGAGTGGAACACCTAAAGTAGCTATAAAGACCTGTGAGTCAACCTCCACAACTCCCAAAAACTCGGAACGAAACCAAACGATCGAAACCAATTCGGAACGAAATCTGAAATCAAACGATCGAGATGAGCTCCTGGCCGCTATAGGCCCGGCAGCTTCAAGAAGGTTCTTCAGCAGGGCTTGGCTGCAGGCCGTCTTGAAACCACCTGTTAACCATCCTCACACAAACAAACACCACTACAAACACCAATTTGAGGTTTCTTCCTGTTTCTCCAGGGTGACTCTACTCAAAGCCACCTCTGGCTAATAAGCCAGCTCTGCTGAAGGGACACGTTCCTGGACATTCCAACAATAGAGACTCGTTGCGACGAACAGCGACGTGCACGTGGATCACAGGGCAACATAGGGGCAACCACATGCAATTAATAGAAGCCTTCTCCGAACAATGTTCCTGCCAATGGGATTTGCCTTCAGCATGAAAAGAACACAAAAAACATACCAAAGTCCCCATATTGGCCCGCTGCACTTGCAAGCATCACTTTGCACTCAAATCTACCAAATTGAGAAGACATGTGATATTTGGAAGATTTTGGAAGTCATTGCTTGCTGGAGATTTGCTCTGACCACACTGGAAACTAGCCCAGTGTTCCCACACACCATAGGCTAAAGTGACCCTTTCTCTCCAGTCCGTACCTCTCATGCAGTATGGCAGTCAGTTGACATCGTCTTCACTTTAAAGTATCACAAATCCATTTGCGTGACACGTTACCGTTTTGAGGCAGCAAATGATGTGCAGTGTATTTCTATCGAGCTGCCACCATATCCGAAGCCATAGAACTTCGTCATTGTGTTCAAGGGTATCCAGCGCCACTGTGTGGCTCTAAAAGCCTAAGCCTAGCGTATGCATGCATCATACATCTGGTAGATGTCAGCGGTGCAAGCAGTCTGCGATCGCCGAGGCAACCTCAATATCCGATTTATCCTGACCAGATTGATCCTGGCAATCTAAGTAGAGCCGAGCTGGGTTGAAGATCCAGTCTACATAGCTCTGAGCATCACCATGCACATCCGGATGAGTGGGCCAATTTGGCCCTCTGATTGGAGGTCTCGGAGGGTAGTCCCCGATCCTCAAGGGAATGATGGTGATGAAGGATTCATAGACCTTCGCGAATTTCAACTCCTCGAAGCTCGAGAAGTCCGAGGACGTCATCTCGCCGTAATGTTCGGTGCAAACACACAGCAGGATGCCCCGTTCCCGCTTGATGCGGCCGAGATAGCGCGTGGTGGGAACACCAAAGGTTTCACCTGGGTGAACGCCCACCATCAGAATATCGTAGCCACTTTGGGCTAAGATCTCGTGGATACGGCGAAACCGCTGTTCAGTGGCGCCGCCATCAAAACGAGCCGAGAACATCGCGACCCGCGCTCCCGGCTCTGGTCTCACTTGCACCTCGAAGTCAATTCATCTGCCAACGGCACAAGGGCGGAGAGCCCCGTCAACGCTAGGTGCATGACCGGTGGTGAAAGAGAAGGTGCGGGCGATGAGGGCGACGAGGGCGCGCTTCCAGCCTACAACCCAAACGGCTCTGCGAAGGCGACGAAGAGAGACACGCTTTGACCAGTCGACCAAAAATCACCCTCTTCAAGGGTCAAGGAATCTTCAATGTTGAATCCATGCTAAAAGATTTGATCACTCCAATTGAGACACAATCCTCAAAAAGTACTCGTTTCATCTCAATGCTTCCCAAAGTTTCCAACCGCCATACATGCGTACTTCCCACCTGACTGTTCGGAGCCCTGTTCCTCCACCTTCCGGCCGTGGAGATGGTGCCTCAAGGAGCCAAGCAGAAAATCGATTTACGGATAACTGCACGGAAGCTGAATTGGAACATGTTTGTTTATAACTTCAGCTGTCTCATATTCTTGGAATGAACACATCCCACACACGTGATAACGCGCCAAAGTGCAAGAGGTGGGCACTATAAGCATTCAAGGAACATGGATCTAGCAGGTGAGCAGCCAACAAAGTCAAAGTGGAGAGTTCCAATCTACCTTCGTTCAACGCACCAAGCAAAGCACGTCCAGGTTCATCGCACATCAACTTGGTCCCAAGCCAGGTCCACTGGTTGAGCTGCTGACCTGCAGGGCATGAAGAAAATACCTCTGGGGGTGTTGCCTGTGGCCCGGCCTCCACATATTTAGATGGTGGCGTAACTATATAATATATTACATGGAAAGTATAGGATATCACGGCTGTTGGGGCCAAACTCAAAGTGTTTGAGGATCAGTATTGAGGATCAGTTATCAACAGGTTTGGCAAATACAAGCAAACCGCATGCCGCATAGCAAGCCCTCCCTTCCGGATGCAGTTTCAACTCGAGTCTTGGCAAAAAAGGCAAGTAATTATGATTAGATGAAAAGATCCACTCATTCACTACAATATACGGCCCCTCTCATCCGCCGCCTGCGGAGCCTGCGTGGAAGGCGATCTGGAGCGATCTTGCATCATGAGCTGAGCCGCTGGAGGAACGGCTGAATCCCTGGCCCTCCGGGTGTACGCTGGACGCGGAGCTGAGGGTGGGACGACTGGAAGTGCTGCAGATGTGGAAGCGTCTGGTTGAGACGGAGAGGACCCAGAAGGGTTGCTGGTGGGATATGCAGCGTGGCTGGAGGGAGCTGGAGAGGTTGCTTGGGCACTGGACAAGGCGCCTAGGTGATCGAAGGTGATGTCTCGGTTGTCGATCTTTACAGTGAAGCTACTGGCTTCCGCAGACCATTCGTTTGAAAGAATGGGGAAGGCACTCGAGTTCAAGCTGATGGTCCGGGTGACACCATCTTGAGAAACCTCCACCTCCTCACTGTCAGGGCGAGTGCCCAAATGGGCAACATTGTCACATCTGGAATATCCCAAGAGGTAGTCGTGGTCATTCATGTACTGTGTCTCCAGAGCTTCCATACAAAAGGTGCATCCGATGTGCACGAACGAGACTTTGCCTTTAGAAACAGGTCCATGATTGAGGAAGCCCATGGCTTTGATGCAGGATGGGACACCGGTCGTTACCACGTGACAGAAGTGTGTCAGTTGCACCTTGGCATAGCCTTCACCGAAAGAAGCAGCATTAGTGACGTCCTTCCAACCGGTGTGCGTGGAGACCCACACCTTGCTTGCTCCAACACAAGCTGGCAGGATGACCCAGATGGGGTCTACGAAAGTGGTATCTTCCGGTGAGAGCTGGAAGATGGGATGAAAGAAGGACTCCTTGGGCTCCAGCTGCCTCTCAAGTGACTCGACATCGATGGATGTCAGGTCTGTGACAAAGTCTGCGGTGGGATGCAACCCTTGTTTGGCCACGGAGGATGGGATCAGAAAGGACGCGCCGCATGGAAAGTGAAGGATCTCTGGAGGCACCTGGCAATCAAGGATCGTACGCAACAAATCACCAACACATGTGTCATCATTTTACATCATGCTTCTGTAAGATATTGACAGTGATCAATCCATCTGACACTCCCGTCATTAACTTGAAATCGGCTTATAAGATTGCTAGGAGATGCTAGAAGAGTCTATGTTCAGCTTTGCAGTCACTGCCCTACACATGATATTTAGACTTTCAGCTTCACCATTCACCTTTCCCGACACCTGGCCTGGCCACTTGTGGCTGAGTGATTCTGAGGGTTCAACTTTCACTCTGCAGCCAGGCCACGACTATTGCACTGAGTGAAGTGCCATAATCAACACCGGCTCCACCTAGGGTGTCTTCATCTCGCCTGGCAAAGCGAGCAAACGTAGAGCAAATTAAAGGTTCTCACACTTCGGCGAGATGTTCGTCGGAACAAATGCAGCAGTATGAGAGATAAGGGAGTAAAGTCTATAGCTATGGGGCCCATGAATAGTTTATCACGTTTGAAGGTGTGAATCTTGCCTCTAACTTACCATCTGTTGCTTGAAGTAAAGGAAGAAGCTTTGGATAAGTGTGGCCTAAGGAAGGCTTTATCCCATCGGACACAGGTCTATGAGTTTGAACATGCTACAGGTAGCCTGTGGCATAAGCAAGTTATTCTCGTGCCCGAGCCCTGCCCAGCCCCAGCTTGGAGCAGGTCCCAAAAAGGCACAGCTTTGACTTGCGCCAAGTCCGAGCAAACATCAGCAAATCTATTTGTAACCATTGTAACTTGAGCCGTTTGGGCAAGGGGTCCAAAAGCAGCACCAAACACATGCCGCAGGCACAGCTTCTCGCCAGACTTCGCGATCAAATCTACTTGTGTGGCATCTTCAAGCTCCAGCTTTTGCCTCGGGGCTCGCCAGACTTGAAACTGGCAAAGACAGTGTCACAGTGGCCCAGCACATGGCGACGCATGGCGAAGCAACCACATCTTCACCAAAAAGACTTGGGAAAGGGATGGAACGGGCAGGTTTGTCGAAGGGGACAGATCTGGAGCATCTTCAGGACAAATCCCAAAACCCGAACGACAAGTCTTGGTTACACAAAAAAAGCAAACACATGGTGGATATCTAGTTTTCCATGTATGATTGATTGATTGATTGCTTGGTGGGTTGGTTGGTTGGTTGGTTGGTTGGTTGGTTGATTGTGGACCGGTCTGTGACAAATGCTGAAGCAAAGCCAGTGCTCAGATTCAGTGCCGAGATTCTGCACCTCTTCGCGCAGATCCTTCACGGAGCGATCTGGCCGAGGGTCGCCTTGAGAGCACGCGGCGGAGCATTTTTGGCAGCGTGCACCAGCTGTAGCGATCAATTACTATATGTAGTATAGTAAAATTGGCAAGGTCCCGATGTTTTTTTGATCTTAATACCCCTCCAATTATCTCCAATTAGTAATTACTGTTCTAAGGAATGGATACAAACTACAGCACCCATGCACGACAGTGCAGTTCGTAAGTGCTACCTTGTTAGAAGCCAGTTGTCAAGGAATGCTCTGCCGAGATACAAAAACAAAGGATGTTTCCGCTCATCAGCCGGATATTAACCTCAGAGCTTGCACACGCTTCACAAGGTTTCTGGACATCTACTGTAACAAAGCAAGCATCCTAAAGAAGGGATAATTATGATCACCTCCATCTTCCAAAATAGGGAACAAACTCCAAAAAACATTAACAATCATAATCACAAGAAGCTCCAACATGGCTTGACTCGAAAGTTGACACCTCGAGTCGAGTTTGAACTGACTGGGAAGGCCGAGGGACTGGACGCAGCAAGCCCATCACGTTCTGATGGCCGCGCTTCTTGGCATCGTCCCACGGTGTAGCACCTAAGGCCAAGGGCAGCGGCAAGGTGGTGAATATATAAATGGGCTTTGGGTGGGAGTAAAGAGGTACACATGCACATTGCCGTACTCTTTGGCCGTGTCCCACGGCGTAGAACCTAAGGCCCAAGGTGGGGAATATATACATCGCTTTGGGCGGGAGTAAAGAGGCCTACACACCACGTATACTGCTATGTATGCTGTATCTCACAAATCCTGATGCGCAAAGAATTTCTGATGGGCTTGAAGCATCCAAAAAGATGCGCTTGGCAAAGGGGCACACATTTACAAGATCTTAAAAGTGCGTTTTGTCAAGAAGCCTCAAAACGACTTTCTAATCGTTCCATATCACTGCAGCGCCAAGTGCCAAACCCCAAGTGCCTTGAACCCCCTGGGCCACCCGGCCATCGTTGTTCTGGGCCTCCGGATCCGCCCGGGCCGCCAGGAGCCGCTCCACCACGTCGGAATGGCCGTTGCGGGCCGCCCAATGAAGAGGCCTCTCACCTCGGTCGGTGGGCTGTTAAGTGGATTCATTTGGGTTTGGTTCAGTGGCGTGGTGGGAGGGCAACCTTCTTTTGGGAGAAAGTTCTTCGAGTTGTTTCTTCTTTCAGTGGTATCTTGTTTGCAGCAATAAACACGACACACAAGCTTATTCGACATGGCCTGCATATGCATACTTTGAGTCTTAGCAACAAGAACAACAATATCAAATACCAAACACACAGGCGACAAAGAACTAGACCATGTGACAACTCTTGAAGGAAACAGTAGCTGGCAAATTGTTACGCCCACTAAAAGCCAAAGTGCTGAGACAAAAAAAAAGTTAAGAATTTGGGAGGGGTTGTCAAGAGGTACATCTCAGCTGAACATGCCCTGTGCCCCTGCGAACACCTGGCACATAAACTCCGGTGGCCGCCACGTGCATGCGCCGTGTGCATCACACCTAATTTAGTTTGTCCAACTCAGAGGTGTCTCCTCAAAGGTGTCTGATTTAAGACAGGCATGTCCGTGTTCAAGTTGAACCCCAAATCTGCACCAATGCACCACGTGCAGCACACATAATAGATTAGTGTGTTCAGAAATGTCTCCTTGAAACTTCAACAATGATCCTTCAATGACATGAAATAACTAGACATTCATGAGACTCTGGTGATGCCTTGGTACAAGTCCACTGTAATGTGACCCAGTTCTTGGCGCCTCCTCAGAACCCCAAAACCACTTTCTAATCTTTCCATATCACTGCAGCGCCAAACCCGAAGTGCCTTGAACCCCATGGGCCACCCGGCCATCGCTGCTCTGGGCCTCCGGATCCGCCCGGGCCGAAAGGAGCCGCTCCACCGCGTCGGAATGGCCGTTGAGGGCCGCCAAATGAAGAGGACTCCCACCTCGGTCGGTGGGTTGTTAAGTGGATTCAGTTGGGTTTGGTTCAGTGGCCTGGTGGGAGGGCAACTTTCTTTTGGGAGAAGTTTCTTCAAGTTGCTTTTTTCTTTCAGTGGTGGATTCTTATTTGCAACAATAAACACGACA